GGTTATTACGAATGAGTAGGATCGATTATATATTGATTAGTCACCCACTAAAAACACACACCATGAATATATGGACAACTCATACAAAATTGTCCGATCACAGTTTGGTATCTTTATTCTTTGATTTAAATGAGGTAGACAGGGGTCCTGGTATGTGGATTTTTAACAACACGCTTTTAAACAACATTAACTATGTGGAAACTATTAAAAAAATAATTAATGATAAACTAAACTGTAGTCTGTACAAAGAATATCCTCTAATTTGGTGGGACAACCTTAAATATATTATTAAAAAAGAGTCAGTTTTATTTGCACGTAAAGTAAATAATAAAAAAAAAATGATTTAGAGTTTTAGTTGTTATCTGAGACTTAAAAAACTGTTTTTGTCCCATTCTGAAAACTGTTTTTTTTTTATTATTATTATCCCATTTACAATTCATGTAGATCTCTGAAACTAACAGATAGAGTTCTGGATATTGATTTTTCCCTTGTTTTTAGCAATTATTACTTATAACTATCGCGAAAGTTGTAACCAGACCGGAAGTGGTGTAAATCTTTAACGTGCACGAAAATTGAAAACCGGCCCTAATTATGTCAATTCTCAACCGATTTTCGAAAAAGTTATATTTTTGTACAGCTGGGGATATTGCGGGTGCGATAACGACCGAATTGACATACCATGTCGTTCTAATTTTTTCTTCAAAATTTGAAAATTTACTAAAATTGTTATTCCTTGTAATTTTGAGTTTTCGATTACATATTTGGATTGCCGGCGTCTGTCCGATTCTACCGATCTAGGATTATCATGATGTGAATTGTTCAACTCAGTTATGCATATTTGTGTTTTTATTTGGGGGGTGCGGGAGTGGCGGAGATAGTCTTTGTCATGCATCTGGTGACCGTGTGACGCCTTGGCTACGGTGAAAGCCTTAAGTCTTGCAAGCAAGTCTAGTTATTCTTTTTTTTATTTGAGGAAGCTTGATCTCAGCAACTATAGGTTTGAAGTTTGATTTTCTGTTGCAAGCAAGTCTAGTTATTCTTTTTTTTATTTGAGGAAGCTTGATCTCAGCAACTATAGGTTTGAAGTTTGATTTTCTGTTGGAAAAGTGGTGTGCATCTACTCCTTAAAGCTATTTTGAAATTTGTGCGCATAGCGGAAATGCGTCAAATCTTTAAAGTGCACGAAAATTGAAAATCGGCCATTATTCCCTTAATTCTCAATGGATTCTTCAGATATTTACATTTTTGGATAGCTGGAGACATTTCTGAGCAAACAGCAGTTCAAAACTGTGGCATTTAGAAAATTTGTCGCTCTCATTTTTTTTTTGGGGGGGGGGGGTGAAAAATGGAAAATTTTCAAAATTTTCTAAAATTTTTATTTTTTGGAATTTTGAAATTTCAGTTATATTTTTGGATAGCTGACATCAATCCGATTCCAACAATATAAGTTTTGTTCTGAAATGTTCACTTTGATTTTTCACTTTTTTTCGCATTTTGGTTAAATCATTTTTTTTTGGTGAAAAATGGAAAATTTCAATATTTTCTACAATATTTGGGGAATTTTGAAATTTCAGTTATATTTTTGGATAGCTGGCATCAATCCGATTCCAACAATATAAGTTTTGTTCTAAAATGTTAACTTTGATTTTTCACTTTTTTTCGCATTTTGGTTAAATCGTAGAGTTATTTTCTTAAAACGGCTCCAACGATTTTTCTGAAACTTCAGGAATATGAAGTGGAAGGACCAAACCAGTCCATGAACTATAAATGAAAATCCTCTAATCAACGGAAGTAGTCAAAAAAAGTACCCAAACTTTGACAAAATTCAGAAAAGTGGGTGCCTGTGCGGAAAATGCGATGTATCAATTGTGTTCTTGTCGATTAGTTAAAGTGTTATATCGTTTAATAGCCAGTTGAATTGTCTATCAGATGGTACTTCAGCGACAAGTTTCTATCAAAAAATAAAAAAGTTATGTGACTTTGAAAAATAAGGTATACTATTCAAAAAAAGTAGGGGATATTTGATTTTTAAGTGTTATTAAAGTCACCTAATGAAACTGACGAAGAAACAAATTACAAAATGAAATGAAGTTCACATTCATCGATTTATTCCAAATGATCGTTAGACTAAGTAAGGCACAGACTGACCATTATAAGGGTAAAATGATACCCGGGGTCAAACAGCAAAGTTACCACAGCATCACAACCAAGTCAGTAACGGGTAAATCCTCCTCTGTTTGCCAAACAAGCATTGATCCGACGTGGCATACTCCTAATGAGACGTCTAAGGTCATTTTGGTCCAGATTGTCCCATTCCTATTGCAACGCAGCAGCAAGTTCTTGGACATTGGCAGGACGTTGTTGACGTTGACGTAACCTCTGTCCCAGACATGCTCGATGGGGGAGAGGTCGGGACTCAGTGCTGGCCAAGGTAATGTGGTGATGTTCTGTTGTTGGAGGTAACCTGTAACGATCCTGGCCCTGTGACATCTTGTGTTGTCATCCTGGAAGATGAAACGGCGGCCATGGCCTGTAACACGCCCTGCAACAACATGTAAAGCCGTTCTTCCACCAACAGTGATGCCTCCCCACACCATAACAGAACCACCCCCAAATCGATCATGTCTGATGACGTTAACGTCTTGGAAGCGCTCGTTTCGACGACGCCACACCCTCCTACGTCTGTCCAAAAAATCAACAGTGAACCTCGACTCATCTGAAAACATCACATTGCTCCAGCGTCGATTATCCCAGTGTTGACGATCCCTACACCAACGACGTCTTGCCTGAATGTGATGATCTCTCAAACAAGGGATCACGCGAGGACGTCGGGCGCGAAGGTGACCCCTATGCAGTCGATTCCGAATCGTCTGGCCACTCACTCTCACACCAGTGTCTGTTTGAAGACGAGCGCTGATCTGATTTGCTGTGATGACACGATTTCTCAAGGCCAAGGTACGGATAAATCGATCCTGGGCTTGAGTTGTCGCCCTTGGTCGACCTGAGCGTGGTCTGTCCTGTACAGATTGTGTATCACGGTATCTGGACCATAGCCTGCTTATGACAGACTGAGAAACATTCATCGTCCGCGCCACAACCGCCTGTGTTGTGCCGATCTGTAGCATGCCAAGGGCACGTAACCTTTCATTTTGGGTAAGCCGACGCATATCAAAATTTGTTTTCTGGTCACTAAAACAATTAAACTGATGTTTCCACCCTGGAATTCAATGCCACAATGACTGTAACATTCAAAGTCAGAGTCGTGCAAATCTTGGGTTGGACCCCCATGATGATCCCAAGCATCACCTGCATTCCATGCGGTAGCTATTGGTGCGTTTGGGCGTCACATGTAACTGGAAATGTTTCTTCTGTTAGGTTCTATAGTGACTTTTTTCGTAGTCATTTGCATATTTTAGTATTATGCCCCCAAAATCAAATATCCCCTACTTTTTTTGAATAGTATATTACAAGATTAAACGGACATGGAATAGAAGTGATAGGAGAAGTTAATAGAAGATATTATGCGAGATCGAAGTGTTGTGATGGCACCAGATTTATGCGTTGTAAATTTCCACCCCATATAAGATCTTTGCCGTATGCAATGAAGTTTGAAACTGTAGAAGGTATGCAGAGTTTCCGTGTAATTCATTCAGATCAACAACGGGTATGTTGGAAATGTTATTCAATAGATCATATTATCACTAACTGCCCCGATGTAGAGTCTGCAAACGCTTTGGTCATGTGTCATATAATTGTAAAGGTGTCCCATGTTCGATTTGTGATAAATGTGGCGACGATTGTGAATGCGGCAGTATTGTACAATCAGACAATAAACTGGATGAACAAATTTGCGACACACCTAATATTGATCAACCACACTCGGAAACGAGTGTGTTTTTAGATCCTGATCTCAATAACAACAGTGATGTAAGTAATACTCACAGTGTGTTGGTTCACCAGGCTGATGTTGGTGAAATAAGTGGTATAACAGAGACGGCTAAACCGGGTGATTTGTCGAATACTGATGTAATAATTTCTGATGTTAATAAAAGGTGGAGAAAATATGAATCCTGAAGGTGATAATAATGAATATGAAGATATTGATTTGATGACGATGAGAACGCAATAGGTCAGACACCTATTCATGGCAATAACGATGTTGTTCGGCGTAGCAGGCGTACAAAAGCTTTAAAGGGTTGTAATAAAGAGAAGAAAACGGTGACAGATAAAGGGAAAAAGCTGAAAGCTGTTAAAAACGTGCTTAAAGATTACGGTTTGGATGTGATTACTGGTATAACAAAAAAAGTTCACGGTAGCAATAACTAAAATAAATTGTTCTTTAAACATAACTCTTAGCCTTTTGTTTATGGTTAAAGTAGTATCATTAAATGTAAATGACCTCCTAGATATTAATAAAGTTAAATATATATTTAGTACTTTTGAGAATACTGACATTATTTGTTTACAGGAAACATTTTGGGATGACTCGTTTGTTGATTCGGTGAAACGATTATGGGATGGCCCACTCTTTTTTTCGAATTGTCAATTTGCAAAGAGGAAGGGTGTAGCGATCATGGTTAAAATGATATTAAAGAATGTGTTGTGAATACACAGAAAGATAATGATGACCGAATAGTAGGAGTAGATCTAAATATTGATGAACAGCTTATTTCAATAATTTCCATATATGCCCCAAATGAGTATAAAGAAAGAATTAATTTTTTTGAATATATTAAAACTTTTATTGATATGAATCAACATTTTATTATAGCAGGTTATAGCTGCAAAGCTATGGGGGTCCCTCTTTTAGAACATTCTGTTTAAAACTCATTATTTCGTTTTAATATGCGTTTATTACTTTCGTTATTCGTTACCAGTACAACTACAAGTCATTACACACATTCTATGATTCTACCGAAATTACACGTTTACACGTTGATAAGTTGAAATAAAATCTATTACTAATGCAGAATAAATTGAATGATGAACGTTGAATGATGAATAAATGTTGAATGAATGTTGAATGGTGAATGTCGAGTGAATGGTTTTTCTACAAATAAACAAAATACATACGTGAAAATTATACATACATGTTGGCTACAGAATTATTCTTAAAACGGATTACAAGTACAAATATATATTGGTTTTATATCACTATTATATGTACTTACGACTTGCAAGATAACTGAGGGGTTTACAACATGTTTATGAACCGTTAATAAGTGAACACGTTAGTACGTTGAAAAAATGAATAAAAGCACATGGCTTCATAAAATACAATCAGGCTAACAGCCTTGACCCTAGGTTAAGACAGGAAATGCATATCTAAAACATTGACTTGGATATAATAGCAACAAAATAATGGACTCGGATCTATACAAACGAAATTTGGCCCTAACATTCCGGCCCCTTAAACGTACGGTTTAACCAAATACATATTAGGGCAAAATGAGTACTAATTTTGAGATAGGTCTTTGAAATTCTGAGAATTGTGTCTTAACACAAACACTTCTAACTAGGTTTTTACAGTCATAATACACTTTGGTAACACGTCCCATTTTCCACTGGTTTCGCGGAGCGTTATCATCCACTAATAGCACAATATCGTTTATACAAACATTACGTTTCGAAACTGTCCACTTAGAACGTTGTTGTAAAGTTAAGAGATATTCTCTTTGCCATCGTTTCCAGAAGGAATCTACCAGATATTGAACTTGTTTCCAATACCTTCGATACATGTCTTCGCGTTTAAATTCGCCAGGTGGTAATAACCATGTCGTTGGCTTTACGTTTAACAAAGAATTGGGTGTTAGAGGATTAAGATCGTTTGGGTCACTAGATGCAAATGTTAATGGGCGACTATTTACTATTGATTCAACTTCACACATAATAGTGCGCAAGGACTCCTCATTTAAAGTGACAGTATTGGAGCCTTGTAATAAACCGTTTAAAACTCTACGTATTGTTCTTATTTGTCTTTCCCAAACGCCACCGTGATGACTTCCTGTAGGTGGACTAAAGTTCCATTTTACGTTTCTTTGTAACAGTTCGTTATGTATTTGATTTTGGTTCCACTTAATTATTTCTTGACGTAGTTCGCGTTCTGCACCATGGAAATTTGTACCATTGTCGCTGCGAATCTCTTGAACAGGACCGCGTCTTGCAATGAATCTTCTTAACGAATTAATAAAAAAACTGGTATCAAGTGAATTAACTATTTCGATGTGAACTGCTCGAATAACAAGACATGTAAAAATCACACCATATCGTTTAAGTTCCTTTCGACCTTCTTTTACAATAAAGGGTCCAAATAAGTCGATACCCGTTGATGAGAATGGGAGAGAAGGATTAACTCTATCTGCTGGCAAGTCAGCCATTTTTTGGTCTAACACCGAACCATATAGTTCACGACAATACACACATTTTGATAAAATGTAACGAACAGTTGAATTAGAGTTAATTATCCAGTAGTGTTCCCGCAATCTGGCAATGACATGACCACGACCAGAATGTCCCGATAATTTATGCACATATCTTGTGATTAAAGTGACTATGTGTCCGTTTTTAGGCAAAATAATCGGATGCTTGGATTGTTCAATGATGTTTGCGTGATGTAATCTACCACCGACTCTAATTAATCCATTACTATACACTGGATCAAGGCGATAAATTGAGTTATCTTTGGTTAAACGTTTAGTGTTATCGCTTGATAAAGCAGTAAATGCTTTTGGAAAAGACTTTTGTTGCACAAATTTAAGTACAAAATGTTCAGCTGAGTTTAACTCTTCAACAGTTATAAGTGCCATAAGTTCTCTGGAATCAGATATACGAGTTTTATTCATTTTTTCATTGATTTGCTTTTGCTTAATGTCCTTGGGCAAATCTTTAAGTCGTTCGTTTAAATCTTTTCGAAAATTTGACCATTTCTTTAAATTATTTCGAAAACGAACAATGAGAACGGTAGCTCTTTTAAGTCGATGCCAATCGGAATAATGTTCAAAAAGTTGTGTCGTTGGGTCCAGTAGCTTATCTTGACAATTCGTTAACAGAACGGTAGTTTGCGTTTTTACCTCTGGGTCGTTCGGATCTATTTCAGATAATACTGGCTGTTCTGGCCAATATGACTGTGGCTTCCATAAGAAATCCGGCCCATTTAACCACATTGTATCATTAATCATATCAGTTGCTTGGAGTCCTCTTGATGCTTGATCGGCAGGATTATTTTCAGATGAAACATAAAACCATTGATTTACCAATGAAAGTTCTCTAATAACTGTAACTCTGTTGGTCACGAATACATGAAAACGTTTTTTCTCATTTTTAATATATCTTAAAACGGTAATACTGTCGGTCCAAAATGAAATGGTATCAGGGAAATAATCAAGTTCTTTAATTAAGACAGATTTCAGACGAGCTGCCACTGTAGCAGCGGTTAACTCTAAACGCGGAATAGTAACTGTTTTTAGGGGTGCTAATCTTGCTTTGCCAAATAAAAAACTACAATGAATTTGATTTTGGTCATTAATTATTCTTTGGTATGCCACACAACCATAACCGACGGAACTTGCATCAGCAAATAAATGTACTTCACGTCGTATCACGTTTCCAAAATTAACAGGTTTCAGGCATCTTTCAATTGAAAAGTTTTCCAGAAGTGGTAACTGAGCTCTCCATTTTAGCCAGTCATTCTTGTGATAATCAGAAATTGGGTCGTCCCATCCCTTTTCTTCTTCACAAATATTTCTCAGAATTCTTTTAGCATGTAATATCAGAGGAGCAACAAAACCGAGGGTATCGAACAAGGAAGCAACAGTTGACAAAATACCACGTCTCGTTAAAGGCTTGTCTATTAATTCGATTTTAAATCCAAATTTATCACTTTCTATTTGCCAGTTTACACCTAAAGCTCTCTCTGAAGGTAAGTCAGAGTAATCTAAATCAAGACATTTGACATCTTTAGCAAGTTTATCTTCTGGTAGATTCTGAATTAATAATCGACTGTTACTAATGAATTTGGTTAAATTAAAGCCGCCCTTAGCGCATACACTAATAAGATTATTCGCGAGCTCAATGGCTTTTGATTCTGTTTCACAGGACTTTAAACAGTCATCAACATAGAAATTACGATTTATAGTATCTGCAACACTCAGTAAATGACCACTATATTGTTCTGCTGTTCTGTGTAAAGCGAAATTTGCACAGCTTGGCGACGATATTGCTCCGAAGGGGTGCGAAGTCATTTGATACTCTTCAAGATCATTTTCAAGATTTCCTTCTGGCCACCATAGGAATCTCAAGAAATTACGAAGTGATTGGGAAACCTTAACTTGGTGAAACATTGCTTCGATGTCTGCCATGAAAGCAATTGGACTTTCACGAAATCTTGTCAAAACACCGAGTAAAGAATTGGTCAAATCTGGTCCTTGAATTAAAAAGTCATTTAGTGATTTTCCTTTGTATTTCGCACTGCAGTCGTAGACGACTCTAAGTTTATTTGGCTATCGTGGGTGGTAAATACCGTGGTGGGGAATATACCACACTTTGCCTGGTTCGGTGCGTAAAAGTTCGTTAGGAATTTTTACAGCGTAATTCCTACTAATTAAGGTGTTAATATTTCCGACATAGTCCGACATGTATTCAGGGCTCTTTAAAAGTTTACGTTTTAACCAATACATTCGTTGAACTGCTTGTTCTTTATTAAAAGGCACCATTGTATCTTCTGTCCTGAAAGGTAGTGGTATATGATAATGACCGTCTTCATGAAATATGCTGTTACCAACAACAGATAAAAACAGCTTATCTTCTTGTGAATGACCTAGCTCTGATGAGTTTGGATTATTTTCAGGAAATTCTATTTCAAACAATTAATTAATTGTGAATTGTCTACTTCGCGAACGGTTTCATTAAAAACCAGCTGATGGCATGTTTCAGAGTTCATTTCACTCACAGAAATTCTATTACAGCTGATCATTTTAGTAACTGTGGTACATGTATTCACTGGACCAATAACTGTCCAACCAAGTCTAGTTAATACCGCGTATGGTCCATTGTTCTTGCTTGGAATAACTTTTATGGGTTGAAGTGCATGAGGGCAATTGGTACCAATTAGTAGTCCGACATGAGTAAAGGGAGGTAACTCGGGTAAACACATGGATCTCAAATGCTCCCCTTTTTTAATATATTCAACGGGAATTTCTTTTCTAGTGTACAGTTTAGGAAGCTGTATAATGTTATTCTCACCAATGTCACACACTTCTAAATCAGAAATTATTTTACTTTTAACAGAAGATTGTCCATGCATTGTACCAAGTAGAATTGTGGTGTCCTTTCCTTCTAAATCTAAACGGTTAGCTAATTCTTCTGTAATAAAACATCCAGTTGAACCATTATCTAGAAATGCTAGTGTAAACAAATAGTCGTTATTGTCTTTTCTTTCAAGTTTAAGTAATAAAATTGGCAGCACAAAGTCCTGTTCATCGTTGTCAACAAAACCAACAAAACCGTTTCTTATTTGAGGATTACTTGCAGGTACATACTTATTAACAACGTTTTGATTATTAGACAGTTCTGTACTTTGGAACTGGATACCTGGATGTACGTTGTTGGAAATACAGTCGTTTTCCGTATTAATTAATGTTGGCATGTTGTGATGAATAAATGAAGGATTACCATTTAATAAATTCGAAGATTGCTTGTTGAGGATGTTTGGCGTTGCGTTGAAACCACTATTTAAAGGATTATTATCGCTAAATTCGTTTGGTGATAAGTGAGCATAGAAAGCGTTAGTTGGCTTATAAGCATGGGACAATGGCTGGGTGGTTTTAGCGTTAGGATATAGGCGAGCGTTGTGGGCGTTGGTGAATAAGTGGGCGTTTGTTGAACGTGCTTGGGTGAAAGGATGAGCGTTGTGGGCGTTGTTGATTGAGTTGGTGTTTTGGGCTGAGTAAGCGTTGTGGGCGTTGTTGGGTGAATAAGCGTTGTGGGCATTAAATGGCATAACTTTACTTGCATGTTGTTCATTTTGCTGATATGAGCCGTCAATATGATTTATTGTAGGATGTGATTTACCACATTTTCGACAGGTTTTCTTGAATCTGCATTCTCTTGAATCATGTCCAGGTTCAAGACAACCAAAACAAAGTTGCTTAGAGAGAAATGGGGTTTAACGTCCACTCGACACAAACTAGGTCATTTCGGGACTAACATATGGTTTAACTTTATTTACATAATTCGCTTGCGCGTAGGGGTCTTTAGCAGTGGGAGGAAACCGGAGGCCCCGGAGAAAACCCACGAGGTTGGACAGGCGACCCTACTCCTTGCCACGTACAACCGGGGATTCGAAACCACGCCAGTCGACTCAATGACAGACTTTATGATACAGCGCGCGCACGCTAACCATTCAGCCATCCAACCCCCCAAAGTTGCTTAGACATTAGATATTCACGACGTTGCTCGTATGGTATTTTCATGATCTCAAAACAGGAATCCATAGAATGATTGTCTTTGGAATAATTAAGGCATTTTGTTTTAATGTTCGAAAAGGATTGTCTGTTCCAACCTATATCACTAAAGTTTGTTGCATAGGTTTGTTTTGGTTTAAAATATTGAGGTGGTGGCTTATTAATTAAAGGCCCGGTTTCGAAATTTCTACCAAATACTGGGTCAGTCAGAGCATCTACTTCTTATTGCACAAATATGACAAAGTCTTCAAAATTGATTTGCCTGTTAGATTTAGTTTTAATTTGTTGTACTCTTCTTCTCCAACTATCTCGCATTCCATAGGGTAACTTTTCCATTAATTCTTTCAAATTTTTAGGATGATTCATCTCCGTTAGATACTTTATATCGTTCATAGCATTTAAACAACTGTTTAATGCGAGAGAAAACTTATTTAACATTTGTACGTTTTCAGATTTTAAGGGGGGCCATTTCAGTAGTTTATTGGAATATGTTGTAGTAATCTTGTACTCGTCTCCAAAAATCTTCTTAAGTAGATGTTTAGCTTTTGCTAAACCTTCTTCGGGTTCCATGTGTAGACAGCTTTTTACCAGTATATTTGGCTCACCTTCAGTAAACTGTTCAAGATAGTACAATTGATCTCTTTTACTAGTAATCATTGTTTCGACTCTATCTTCAAATGATTTAATAAATGTTCGATATTGAAGTGGGTCGCCATGAAATTTAGAGAGTTGTGGCAGGGGTAGAAGACTTCTCTTTTGTTGATTAGCGAGTATTTCAGCTAAATTTGTTTGACGTTCTTGAAGATTTGTTTGCTTTTCAATAAGTTTATATAAAGCTAAATGTTCGTTTCATGTTGTACTTGACTTATGTTCTATCGGCACTTGTACGTCTTTCATAACTGGCATTGAATGGCTTGATTTTTCAGGTATTGAAACAAAGGGGTTAGTGCTACACTGATTGACATTAGGTGTGGAGAACATTCCATAGTTATAATTATTTTCTTGATCAAACTGATCAAAATTCAGTGATTCGTATACCGTTCGCCTTGCATGATTCATAGAAATTTCAGTTTCTAACTCTAGTTCATCGCGTTTTCTGTCCAAAATAAGTTGGCGTTCGTTAATTTCATGTTTCTTTTTCAATGCAGCAGCTTTGGCTTTAAGTTCTGCTTCTTTAACTCTCTCTTTGGCTAATGCTGAAAATACTGAATGTTGACTTGAGAACCTTGATGATTTTCTAGATATATTGTCTTCATCCACATGTCCGTTCCAATCAACTTCCTCTAACCAGGTATGTATACGTTCTGTCGTTTTAGCTGGATATTTTTCTGCCATATTACAGTTGTATTATTTTTACTGACACATATTTAATTATTATCACTCACGTTGCTTTATACAAATTGAGTTTTGCACAGATATGTAATAGTCCTAAGTCAAAAACTAAAATATAGCTGCAAAGCTATGGGGGTCCCTCTTTTAGAACATTCTGTTTAAAACTCATTATTTCGTTTTATTATGCGTTTATTACTTTCGTTATTCGTTACCAGTACAACTACAAGTCATTACACACATTCTATGATTCTACCGAAATTACACGTTTACACGTTGATAAGTTGAAATAAAATCTATTACTAATGCAGAATAAATTGAATGATGAACGTTGAATGATGAATAAATGTTGAATGAATGTTGAATGGTGAATGTCGAGTGAATGGTTTTTCTACAAATAAACAAAATACATACGTGAAAATTATACATACATGTTGGCTACAGAATTATTCTTAAAACGGATTACAAGTACAAATATATATTGGTTTTATATCACTATTATATGTACTTACGACTTGCAAGATAACTGAGGGGTTTACAACATGTTTATGAACCGTTAATAAGTGAACACGTTAGTACGTTGAAAAAATGAATAAAAGCACATGGCTTCATAAAATACAATCAGGCTAACAGCCTTGACCCTAGGATAAGACAGGAAATGCATATCTAAAACATTGACTTGGATATAATAGCAACAAAATAATGGACTCGGATCTATACAAACGAAATTTGGCCCTAACACAGGTGATTTTAACGATGTTTTAGATCCTAGCTTAGATAGGGGTTATGGTATGGACACGTGCAAAGCGTCTAGTATTGCTTTTAATAGATTCCTGAATTCTTCAAATTTATGTGACATTTACCGTTATAGAAATCCTACTAAAAAGGAATTTACTCGTGTGTGTTCAGTTAACGGTAATTATAAACAAGTCGGTTAGATTATATTCTTGTTAGTAGAAATCTTCTTACATTTTGTCGACATGTTTTTATAACTAAAACTAGTTTTAGTGATCATTCCATTGAATCTTTAATATTGGACTTTTCGAATTGTGAAAGGGGGCCTGGTGTATGGATACATAATAAATCTCTTTTAAATGATATTGATTATGTAAATATAATTAGAAATTGTATTAATAATGAAATGAATAGTGAATTATTTGAACGTGAGCCATTAGTGTGGTGGGATAATACTAAATATAAGTTTAAAACATTATCTATTATTTATTCAAAGTCAAAGGCTAAGATACGCAAGAAGAGATTTTGGGATCTTCAAAATGATTTACAAAGAGAATATTGTAAAATTGAGGATATTGAGCAAGAACTTTATACTTTTGAAACAACACGTTGTCAAGGGGCAATTATTCGATCCAAGATGAAATGGGCTCTTGAGTGTGACAAAAATACAAAATACTTTCTGACTTTAGAAAAGCAAAGGCAGGCTTCGAAATTGATAAAACAAGTTAAAACTGTAGATGGTTGTGCATCCTTTTATGAGAAACTTTATACTAAAGAATCTGTAGATGTGGATTCACAAAATAAGCTTTTTTCTTTAGTTCAGTCAACTCTATCTGAGGATGATAAATTGTCATGATTTTACTCATGATGAGATAACTAATGCTTTGAAATGTTTAAATAAGAATCGATCCCCGGTTTGGATGGACTAACTCCCGAATTGTACACGCATTTTTGGGATGTTTTAGGCCCTATATATACTATTCAAAAAAAGTAGGGGATATTTGATTTTGGGGGCATAATACTAAAATATGCAAATGACTACGAAAAAAGTCACTATAGAACCTAACAGAAGAAACATTTCCAGTTACATGTGACGCCCAAACGCACCAATAGCTAGGGCGACAACTCAAGCCCAGGATCGATTTATCCGTACCTTGGCCTTGAGAAATCGTGTCATCACAGCAAATCAGATCAGCGCTCGTCTTCAAACAGACACTGGTGTGAGAGTGAGTGGCCAGACGATTCGGAATCGACTGCATAGGGGTCACCTTCGCGCCCGACGTCCTCGCGTGATCCCTTGTTTGAGAGATCATCACATTCAGGCAAGACGTCGTTGGTGTAGGGATCGTCAACACTGGGATAATCGACGCTGGAGCAATGTGATGTTTTCAGATGAGTCGAGGTTCACTGTTGATTTTTTGGACAGACGTAGGAGGGTGTGGCGTCGTCGAAACGAGCGCTTCCAAGACGTTAACGTCATCAGACATGATCGATTTGGGGGTGGTTCTGTTATGGTGTGGGGAGGCATCACTGTTGCTGGAAGAACGGCTTTACATGTTGTTGCAGGGCGTGTTACAGGCCAGTACTACCGGGAAAACATCTTGGCAGTCCATGTTGTGCCGTTCGCACGACGTCATGGCCGCCGTTTCATCTTCCAGGATGACAACGCAAGATGTCACAGGGCCAGGATCGTTACAGGTTACCTCCAACAACAGAACATCACCACATTACCTTGGCCAGCACTGAGTCCCGACCTCTCCCTCATCGAGCATGTCTGGGACATGCTTGGACAGAGGTTACGTCAACGTCAACAACGTCCTGCCAATGTCCAAGAACTTGCTGCTGCGTTGCAACAGGAATGGGACAATCTGGACCAAAATGACCTTAGACGTCTCATTAGGAGTATGCCACGTCGGATCAATGCTTGTTTGGCAAACAGAGGAGGATTTACCCATTACTGACTTGGTTGTGATGCTGTGGTAACTTTGCTGTTTGACCCCGGGTATCATTTTACCCTTATAATGGTCAGTCTGTGCCTTACTTAGTCTAACGATCATTTAGAATAAATCGATGAATGTGAACTTCATTTCATTTTGTCATTTGTTTCTTCGTCAGTTTCATTAGGTGACTTTAATAACACTTAAAAATCAAATATCCCCTACTTTTTTTGAATAGTAATAATAGGTTGTCTATAGTTAAGGTAATTTATCACACATCTAGGGTTTTAACCCCATATCAATTAAGTGGTTTCCATCTATGTGTACATTACATTAGATGTTTATACTAATGATATAGTTTCATCATAAGATCAAAGGTCACTGTTCTCCTAATTTATGGTTTCATTGAATGTTTTGATTGTACATTGTATATATATTTCGTTCCTTCTGTCTGTATCAGTTAATTAGTACTCGTACTGATAACACCTAATGCACCAGAGCTCCAAAGCTATCGACTAAATTTATCTCAGATAAAGTAGCCTAGCTAAGACTCCAAAAAGACTTTTCAAACCCAGAAAGACCACTAGATACTACAAAGATCATCTAGTCCAAAATAGATTTAAGGTTGTCTTTGTTTTTATACCTTCACAAGGTATAAGGTTTATTTTCTTTATATTTTATCATTCTTAATTTATCTTATTTTATTTTACTTTATTTTCTTTAATTTACTTTATTTTATTTTCCTTACCTCCTTCCCCAGTGCTTTATTGTTAGGATATTGTTAGGATATTATTTTTACCTTATTTCTATATATATATTAGATATTAGCTAATTTTCTTAAATTCTCCTTCTATTTCATATTTCTCCACTCCTAATCTAATCTATTTTTTTGTTACTTCTTCTTTTTACCCCTTTTTTCAACTCTATATACCACCTTCCTATCTTTATTTAATTATTTCTATTTTTCTCTATTCTGTATCTATTTAATCATTTCACTTTTCTTTCTATCATCTACTAACAAAGAAGCTCAGTGTACAAGCTTCTTAAAACAATAACAAGCTAATTTATTTCTATAGCTAATAAGCCTGATAACTGTTAGGTACACTCATACAGGCAATAGGAACCCATAGTTAATTAGTATTAATTACACTGATTGACTAGCGCTTCTTTGTGGAAAGGGGTAACAACAGGTATATCAGCTTACGTCATTAATTAACGACAGAATACATCCTTAATCAACACTGTTCAGTCCCTCCTTTTGTTTTCCATTGTATCTTTCGGCAGCATAAGAACGATGGCGACAGAGGCTAGCGCACCCATGTCCATGGCTGACGCTTTTTACAACAGCCCTGCACCGAAGTTCTTTCCTGCGGCAAAAAGGAGAGAGGAACAGCCCCACGTCGTACTAGTGAGGCTACTGGAAGGCAAGTCCTTTCAAGGAGCCAAACTTACGGCTGTTTGGAAGGAACTAAAGAGTAAGTGGGGTATTACTAACATACCCGACTTAAAGATCACTGTGTCAGGCCAACTCAGACTTGCCTTAAAAAGTAGGTCTGAGATGGATCTGGCGCTGGCTCAGAACGTACTTCTCGGTATGACCGTGACGGTGTCCGAACCGATCACCTTGTCTATTGATAAGGTGGTTGTTCATGGGATACCGACCGAATATACCGGGGAGGAAATTCTGGAAGATCTTACAGAGAGGGGGTACCATGCTACCGAGGTATATCGATTTAATGTGGCCCAGGGGAAGGATCAGGGAAGCCTCGCCCTATCCTTCAAGAAAGGTACCTCACCTGAGGCCCTTAAAATCGTGTACCTCAACCGTCGTACCCACCCCTATGTTCAGAGGGTGAGGCAGTGCGCCAACTGTCAGAAACTAGGACATACGGTAAAGTACTGTAAGGGAAAAACCGTATGCGCCCAATGCGGAGGAGAACACGCGGTGGGTAGCAAAATTAACTGCTCAAACTGCAAGGGCAGCCACGCAGCCAACTCCCCGCAATGCCCAAAAATACAAGCGACCAAAGCAACGCTACGTCTGCAAAGCAAAGATAAACTTACCTTTAGGGAGGCAACCCAGCAAGTAAAGAACAAGGAGAGATAAGCAAAAGTAGCCAGAGAACCGATGGTGGAACCAAAACAAGCTCCAGCACCGACTCTCTCGACGTTCGATGCAACCCCCACCCCTAAAGGTAAAGACAAGAAGAAGAAAGAGAAGAAAACATCTACCAAACCTGTAGAGGTCAAACAGAAGACAAATCCATCCAAGAAGAAAGAAGAACCGAAAACGAAGATTCATGAAGAACAATTCAATCCTAAATTTAAAACGGAAAGTGGCTTCATGAACTTCATGATCGAGTTCCTCAGGGTGGCCGTGTCCAATGAGGACCAAACTACCAAGATGGCAAGCCTACTCGGCAAAATAAAGACACACATGGTCAACGCCGATGTCCTGTGTGTCATGATTAATTCAATCAACACGGTAAATGACGAAGAAACCACAAAAGGCGATCAAACGGCAAACCTCGCACTCCGTAGAAGGATATCTCATGTTCGTCACTACAGCACTGGCGATATGTCCAGTTGCTTGCCGGTTTTAACACCAAAGGCGAACACTAATGAGGTACCTCCTATGGAATGTGAAACGCCAATTGACCAATAAATAGACAAGACAGAGAGGCATCCATCCGGACAGTCATCATGGCGGGCCAGGTAAAAGTTCTACAACTAAACGTTAATGGACTGGCTCCCAGATGTGCTGAGCTGAGAAAATACATCACCCGCAACCCGAAAGATGTAATATGCCTCCAAGAAACCAAGCTACTACCAACCAAGAACGACATCTACTTGCCCGGATACACTTGTCAGCGAAGGGACAGACCGGGCAGCACGACACGTGGCGGCGGTCTTGCCATCTACGTCAGTGATAACTTAAA